ATGAGAAAATGCGCTAAAAAGGACCTATATAAGTGTCCAGGAACAGCAGATAAATGTTCAAAACATCAGATAATTGTCAAAATAGAACACAAGGGTCCAGCAAGAGGCGGCTTAGAGCTCAGGAATTTCTAGATGTAAAGTGAAGCCCACAAGACGCCTTGGTAGGACAGGTAGCCATCGCAGTGTCCCCAATAAAGAAAGGATTGAGAGGCTCATAAAGTTGCGGTTGATGCTTCGCTAATTGTTTAGAAATGGATGGCTTGGGTGGTCGACGGTAGGCCTATGAAATACACATTGATAACCATAGTAAAGACATAATTAAATATTTGAGTGGTTTAAGAATAAGGTTTGGATGTGAGAAATATTAAATTTAAATGAAACCTCGAATAATGTGATGTGTTAGTACACGGCCATCACATAATTTAAAGAAGTATTTCATCTTAGAAAAAGTCGATCTTTACTGAGAGCGCGTTATGTTCATATCTACTTTCCAATGGTCCTGATTTTTTGGTGGGATTAAAAAATATTATAGGGTCACTGCTAAAAACACCATTCTGGTGTGAACTTCACTATTCATTTTATAAAAATTTCAACCAGCTCAGAATATTCATCAGGTAAATTATCCATTCATTAATGCACTCAGACCTGTTCAACTTATGGTAAGTATATGAATAAAACCTTTTTAAATGATAATTCACTCGACGAGCTCTTTTCCGGCTGGTACGTGGTACGTAAAAATCTTGCATAAAATTATTGTGAAAACATTCTTCGTTAAAACGTATGCTTACTTATTAGTGATTAATATATTGTTCATGAGAACTCATATCTTTTTCCATGGGACACAAAAAAAATAAGATTCCTGCTTGGTATGAACATCTTTTGGCAAACCAAAACCAAGTTGATATCACAGTGTGGAATTTCGCACAGCCACGAAGCTGAATGAAAGCGCGTTAGAACGAAAGCTAATATTTGATCATTGAATGGATTGCAAAGAACCTCCAAATTCAGCTGTGTAGAAAAGCACCAAAATAAACTTTTAATAACGCAAGAAAGAATCTGGCCTAACGATCTTTGAGAAATCAAGCAAAGGCTGTGGATTCCTTGAGTAGCCTTGCAGGCACCGATTGAGCACATCTCTGTTAAATTCGCGCAAATATACGGGGAGTAAGCAAGCGACGTTAATCGTTTCCCGCTCCAAAGTCAATTTTAAAAGCCAACATCTTTTCAACACTTTCATAAGAGCGCCTAACCCGCATTGCACTGACAATTTGAATTTGGGATGCCCTAGCAAACCACGACACCCGATACTGGCGGTCAACTAAAGCAAATTAGAGAAGCTGCAACAAAAAACAACTCGCAGTGACAAGCGCTGTTAGCTTTAGTCGCTCGTGCACACGACGCAAATGTGTCGACCAACATCGACGTTAGCGCCTGCATGCAGTGCTTGTCATATGCCGACATTGCAACGCTTTACTGGCGGCCTTTGAAAATTACGTCGACATCCGATTGAATTTCGTAATTTGTTAGATGAAGATTTAGAAAATTATTAATGCAATTGGAACAAATAGCCGCGCACAACCAACTGCAAGGTTTCATATTCTAACCATTTAAAAATTGGTTATTCATTTGTAGATTGCACATGAAGAACATGAAAACAACCAAAAGTAAAAATATCACAGCAGTCGTTGACAGAGCGCGAGAATGACACGCATTAGTCACAACTTACAAGTTCTGTGAAACGTCGGCGACTAGAAGCTTCTAAGAAATCAACTGACATGTTACAAATCAAACAAACATGCATCATATGGGCATAAACCAATGCCATGTTAGGGCACTACCTCCCCATTACGGAGTTGTAAACTGAGCATCTCTATCCTTGCCCACTACCCTGAAAGCATCAGCGGCCGTACAGCATCGTGGTAAAAGTTCTTGCTTTACCGTCCAGAGGCACTGACGTTGTGGGTTTCTGCGTACTGTGCGAGGCCAACAAAAGGAGGGCCGGCAATTGCAGTTGTCGAGTGCACACAAATGAGAGAAGACAGCGCACAGCAAATACGCTGCCTCCTACGGTCTTTTGCTGCTGCGCCACCAATGTTTGGTCGGGCGTTCGAAGGACCCTGGCTATACTCACTTCAACGCACTCACTTTTTCAAGTGAATATACTACACGAAACGTGGTACATGCGAATTTTTTTCATCTACTTTTCCTGGTACTTCATCTGTGATGAAATGCATAAAATGGCTTGAAACCTGAAAGTTTTTTTTCGGCACGATTTCCGATGCGATAAAATACGGTACATGTAAAAATAAATAATTTTTTACATTAACTCACCCCTAAAGACTTTTCTCAAATTGCATTGCAGTCATCTGATAAAGTTGATGTAGAAATGAAATTCAGACAATTTTGCTGAAGAAATTAAACTGAGGAAGCGAAATGTCGTACAATAAGCATAATGCTTGTGCCATATAAGGCGCCTCCGAATGGGTCGTTTACTTGTTTATGATTGTGCCTATTTATTGAGGCTCATTTATTTGGAATGACTGGACGGAATGATTCAGTTCACGTTCTCTGGGCCAATAAAGCTGGAGGAAAAGCTTTCATAAGAAGTGCTTCGCTCTGCTGTTAAACTGCCATCACAAGAGCATTAGAATCCGCCCAAGAGAAAATTAAAGACTCTACGCAGTAACACGCCATTCTGGACCTTTAGAATAGGGCACATGGTGCACGCTAACTTACGATGATGTGCTATTCTGGCCCCGAAAATGTTCATCTTGTCGGAGCATCAAGTACTCCTTTCGTTGGAAGTATTCGAAAAACTGTCACCTACGATTGCATTTAAGAAACATAAAATATTAGGATTCACACATCAGATATGTTCCTACTAATAAAAAATGTTAATTCAGAATGGCTCGAAAAGTTAACATTGGAATAATACACCTTGGTTGAAAATTTCGACTGTATTGAAACCGAATATTCACGAAACAATTATAGCAACAGGATTCAAACATAAAACATGGAGAGTCAATCGGAAAAAGATGTTCTACAAAGTGTTCAATATTTTAGAAATTCCTTGAAACTTAGGCTTAATATGTGGCCTTTAACAAGTACGAATAATACGTGAACAATTACGTGAACTATTTAAACACGAGTGAGTTGAGATCCAGAGTTTCTTTGAGAATCATCTCTCTCGCATTGGATCTTATCGGTTGAACTCTAAGACAGTAAATGCCATAGCAGAAACATACATAGAGAGCACTTCTACAAACAAAGCCCATTGTTCAGAGAACGTTCATTGCAGGGTGATCTAACATATGCTGCATGTTCGTACTCCTACTGCTTTAACAATTCAAAGGGATAATGTAGAGCGAAATAAATACTATAGTGACGAATGACAACGAAAAAATATTGTTTATTTTAAATTTTGATATCTTTCGTCGCGCATGAAGGAGTGCTCATATATAATATATTGGACCAAAGTCAGCTGAAATGTAGGTGGTTTCTTGCAGTTGATACGATCTCTGCTTCTGAGAATCTTGAAATTCTTATTCAAAAAATGCTAGTTCGGAAAATAGTTCGGATAGTTCCTAGTACGAAAATTATTAGTTTTTCATGTAGTTTAGTCAGTTGTCATTTTCAAAATTAAATACAGTGAAAATTATAGTTTCTTTATTATCAATTATTTTCTTGTGATGGTCCCGTAATTCGCTGTTCATAAAAGTGTGAGTGGCAGGAGTCTCGTGCGATAACAAAGAGAGAGGCCTTAAGCAGCTGCAAGTGTCAATAAAATACTCTCTCTCTGAATGGACGATGTTAGGGTACACCCTCGAGCTGCTGACCATACCTTCTAAATCACGCCTCGCCCCATCCATGCTAATGCAGGAAGCGACAACAGCAATTTACTGAGCAGCGCCACTCTCCCACAACTCGCAGAAGAATTCTTGACTTCAGAGTTCTGGTAATTATCGACGGATTTACAAAGTGACGATGAGAGTAATAAACTGATTGAATATCTATTGTTAACTTAAATGAGAAAAGGGAAGTCAAGCGTTGACTGGCTTTACCTATATGAGGATAAATTTTTTTCGATAAAAACCGAATTTCACAATCTAAAAATTGTTGCACTGAAATTCATTAGTATGAAATTGCGAAAATTAAGTAATAACTTAATTTGTGCAAATTAATAATATACTAATAATAAGCGCAAATTATGATGAATTTCGAAAATTATTTGACATATCTAAACTCAATTGTTTTTTTTTATATAAACAGGCATAGCAACTGGCTCCCTTCAATCATACGATACTAGCTGAAATAAAAGGTTGTACGAGTAGCAACCGAGAACTGTTCGTTTGGAAAGTTGATTGTTAATTCAGAAGCCAGTACGTCTAGCACGACAGTCGTGAGTGCAGCAGTATTGCCAGCACGAGTTAATAACAAGCACGGTAATGACAAGACAGCCACCGACGTGCATCATCTTGCACAAGGCAGCTAATGACGATTTACTGCATTGTCAGGCCGCGTATAGCAACGACCTGCGCTGGCGGCTTCCGTGCAATTTTTCGAGGTCATCACCCATGTTGCTGCGTAAGTTATAGCAAAGCTGATTTGAATTATCATCTTGCAATTAAATATTATTCCATTGTAAGTTTTATGTACGTGACATTAGCGTTCAAGTAAATTAACGCAATTAGAGACGCCCTGGTTTCATTTTTTTGCTTTTCTGACACGCCATGAAAATTAAATGGAACTTGTAACAGCGTCGGTGACGCTGGATTGGTTGTAAAATTTAGCATAAAATAAATGGTGGTTGGACATTCGATCTAAAATTTCACTGTTATAGGCTTGTTTACCCAAGCCACACAGGAGGAAACAAATGCACAAGCTGTTAATGTTGGGATCTGTATTGAAAATGTGAAGAAACGCAATTTGAAAGAATCCTTGAAAATTAAAGTTAGCAAAATATTCCAAACATGAACTTGAAGTGAAATTTTAGTACTCACGAAAGTAAGGGTTGCCGTTGGCAGCGGCGAGAGCAGAGCAGTTCCAGCGCTGCGTGCGGAACTGGAACTGACATTCATTGATGGCTTCCAGCGCGCCCAGCTTGACAGCCTCCATGAAGAAAGGATTCTCGCGGCAGAACTGCACCTGCTGGGGCACCAGCGTGCCCTTCAGGCCCTTGCAGATGCCCGCGTGCTGGGGCACTGACGCCAGGCTCGACATCTGCGACACCGCCCTGTGCCAAACACGTAAAAATATTCAAATTGTACTCTGAAGTGAGCAATAGAAAACGAGATAAAAAAAGCATGAATGGATAATTTATGTGTCAAAAACCATAGATTGACATTATCATCAGTATTAAATTAAATTGTTTTGTTGGACATTAAATAAATTTAAGAAATGATCGTAATAAATATTTATGAGGGATACACTTTACCTCTGATAACGCAGTGGCTACGTGTGATTGCACAAATAAATATAAATACCAATCTAAATAAAAATGAATATTTAAGTCATGGTTAATTCTGTTTTCTTTTCTTACAACGCGTATTATTCAAGCAAACTAATTAATCGAGGAGTAAAATTTATTTGAATTGCTGGGCATGCGATTCTTCTACAGATCACAACTTCATTGTTTTGATGCTGAGAAGGGAGAATTACAAAGATTGAAGTGTTGTAGGAAGAATTTAGGACTTAATTCGTATTGATATTATAAGAGGCGTCCTTCAACAAATCATTCACTTTAAAAACAATCAACTTTCCCTACTCCAAGTTTCTAAGAATTGAGTTGTGCTGCTCGTACAGCAAGCCATGCCAAGCATCATCGTTCGAATCGAGATAAAAACATCGTAGCAATTTTTATACGAGTTAATTTTTATAGGACCACCAATCATGTCGGATAGGCGAAGCATGCGCGATCTAGGAGTTTATTATGCAGCAAAGGTACCCTTCATTAAGGGTCGTAAATTCGTTATTTACCATCACATGCCGTGCCTGACATCGCCCATTTTTACCAACGTCCAATTACTTATGTTTGACGTAATACGCTCTAGTGCTGAGGCTCAGCTCAAACCCAGTAAAATCATAATGATGCTGAGATGGCAATGATAGACGAGCCATTTTTGTGTACAAACTTAATCTGCATGCCTTAACTCCTGGCAAGAATGCGCAGACATATTTGTTTTGGAGCCTCGATATACTTAATAATCATTCCATGCAACGGGCAAATGCCATGAAAATGATCGAGTCATAGATTTAATAGGTTATCTGTGATGAGATCTTGCGGTAAGGACGGGACGTAAAGATAAGTATGCCAAAATTAGGTTTACTATATGTATAGCAAGTAATCGAATTGCATTCAAGTATTGCAGTGCACGTTCACAGAAACTGAACTATTTTATAGTTTCTTGTGCTCTTTTTAAAGAATTTCTATCAATGTATCAAAATATTCCAGTTTTTTTAGGTTCCAGCTTATGGAACCTAAAACTGTCGAATATATTTAATGTAAATTTCGGAAGCGCGGTACAGAGTGAAAGAACACTTTCGAAGATGAACCCAATTAGGATGCTCAAGAAATTTAAAAACGACGTAGAGAATTGTTTCCAACAAACTTTAGCAATTCAGGACAAGGTATTTTGTAACCAAAGGTTAGTGAAAAATTCATAGAACCCGGTGTAAAATTGGGTTCTTTCACTTACGACACCAGAAAATATTTTTAGTAAAGTCTTTATTGGCAGACTTAATCGTTACAAGAATCATGAAAACAAGGAAGAATCTTCAGCAACATCAATCCTATGAGAATAATTTCTGAGAGCATAATGAATTAATGAAAGCTAACCGTGCATGCAAAATAATAACTAATAGTGAGAGTATTTAGCATCATCGTTACTTCTAGAAGAGATAACACAGTCAGAGCAGCAGGCAAGGAAATCAGTTTGGAAATGTCAAGTGTTCAGCAGAGGAAGCAGAGCTTGTAAGTGTGCTGCGGGGCGCGTGCTTAAAAGCCGTAGATAACGCGCGCTGGCAACGATCACGTGTCTGATACAGCGACACTTGCGTTGGCAGCACCAAGATAATCCATATTTTGCACAACCGCTTAACACTTGCCTTTTAAATTGCTTGCACACGAAAATAATGCATAAATCACAGGAATCTTTTAGACAGAATTAATGTATAAAAAAACATTTCACGCAGTAATACGGATTCAACTATTTAATTTATTTGGTATATTTACACAGAATAAATAGGTAAATAATGTTCATGTTTAGAGTGAGGAGAAACGTTTGAACGAAACAACACGCATGTAGTGTTAGTGATGACCGAAACACAAAATAAAAACGTTGTACGCTATACGAGCCCGAGCCAGTTTCATTCCATACCTCAGTTTCTAGCTACATGATAGATTTTCATTTCATCGTGCACGTTCCAGTTTCAAATGCATGCCTTAGTTTCATAGCATTTGCCCCAGTTCCATAGCTTATGTCTCATTTTAATGAGCATACAATTTGCATGTGAGCCGTGGCTGCGTCAATGTTCACGCCACCTCGCACCGTGCAGCTGCTGTAGAGGTAAGACGTATCAGAAGCCAAACATGCATTCGTTATAATCCATACCAGCTGCATTGCTCTCATCGTTCACCAGATTAAAATGTCAGAAATACCTTAAATAATGTTCAACTGCATTCAAATATTTAAATATCCTTGATTCATACAGTAGATTTGAATTATTTTATTACCAACAAACAGTTATCGACTACACAGACCAAATAACCAAGCATTGCTTGGTTATTTGGTTATGTAGCACTTATTTATTTGAGTCAAAAATTTTCGGGATTACACTTGTCCATAACAGTTACTGTACATCTTAAGTGCTTTTATGAGCAAGTGCGGGAGACTGCACTGCGCGCTGCAGTTCAAATAGTGCAGTGGCGCAGCGTATAAGTAAGCGCTGAAGAGTCACCATTCATGCAGTGACGTGACATAGTAGTCAGGGCAAGGCCATATCCGTATTCAAAAACACACATAACTCGTGCTGTTTGGTGAGGAATAAGTGCGGTCCCCAACACGAACGAGTTCTGTCATAAGTTTGAAAGAAGTATTGTCATTGCGTCCGCAATTGAACTTTATGCCCCATCAATTAGAGAACCTCTGATCATTCCCTTGCGTCAAGCAGCAGCGGACGAGTGCACGTCTCATAATGTCGCCTGTCGCATTGACGTGTTCTTACTTCAGTCACGTCAGTGATAGATCATCATTTGTTTTGTAGCGACGCACGCTTGACATTAACCATGATAATAAATGTGTATATGAGAGGTCAGATTGCCGGCTGATTAACATCGTTCGCTCGAACCTTCGAAGGCGGGTAAAAAAAAATTAGCTGCTTAGCGAGTTCAATTGCCATCGATCCTGACTACCACAGCGGGGAGTGGCAATCACTGCCAATAAGTTGCCATTGTGGTGCCATTCTTGGGCACAGTCTACTGATTAGATGTCGCTGATCTTGATTATATGTTGCATTAATATCAATAATTACAGTCTTTCAAAAGTCCTTATTGCTTCCAAAGAAGGCTAAAGAGCGCATTAACTGAGCAATGAGCATTGATGTATCACGAAACAAGAGAGACTGAATTCTTATTCTGCGTGTTTGCGAGAGACTTCAGGCTGTCCCACCCAGTGAGACTCCCATCATCCAACCATTTTAGATGTAGATCTAAATTTTAATTATAATTAAAGATCAAATTTGTTGCATTACAATGAGGACATAATTATGATCAAATCTAGGAGCTTTGATGGCGGAAGGTTAGTATACTGGCTTAGCTTCAGGTCAGTGTCTTATATGTACGTATCGCCGGTTATAAATTCAACGACCACATGCATGGTCAGTTCGTAACGTCCCCAAATATGAATGATTATAATTTGACACCGATCCCCGCGGAATTTTTATAATTCAAGATTAGCAGTCGAAACGGGAGAATAGACAGGAGCTCTCTTCCTGATACAAAATGTGGTTAATGAACCATTGACATGGCTTAAGCATGAATACGTTCAAGAACAGACTAGATAAACTTATGCTGAAATATATGTTTTAATAGAGGTGCTTCTTACCTGACGGGCCTGGTAAATGTCCAATGGTTAGTCAGTTTCAACGTCAGTTTCAAAACCTATAGACAAAGGCAAATTTTTTTTTTCAGGAGCCAATTTCTGAACATTGCAGGAATCGGCGCTGTAAATTTGTTCGCATTTAGAGCTGCAATGACATTCTTTCAGGGAAGGGAGCTGAAATTTAATGCAGCGGCTGACAGTTTAGCGATGATTGGTCAGCAATCGGCCGCGTATCGATTACCCGTCAGCCGTGAACGTGTCAGTGATCATCCCGTAGAGTTTGCCGCCACCTCAGTGGATGTCAATCATCGTCTAAACTTCAGGGGAGGAAGAGGGTGAGGAAGAGGGGGCCGCTATCCCTGGTGTGAGTAAAAGATACGAATACAGCAATGGGACCCGCTGCCTAGCTGGTGCCCAGCATTTCAATTCAAATGTGAAAGTTAGTATATTTTCCTATTCTCCTTATTTTATAGTTATAGAGGAGTCAGCGTTGATATATGATATGCCATTATTTTGCCCTGTCGAAGATTCTGAACATCGCAGAATTTTCGCAAAAAATTGTACTGACAATTGCGAATTTAAAACGCACGACTTTTAAAAGTTATTTCATAAAAAAATTATTGAAATTTATTAAAGCCAAATATTAGTGTAACATTGGAAAAAACATTAACAAACATGAGCATTTATCACGTTTGCTAAAAATGCGTTGCGAAATACGACCTGACAGGTCGTATTTCCGTCTTGTATGACTTATCGATCAATCATAGCCAAGTGTTTCTAAAACACAACTATTTCTAATAATTCGACTAATTTTTCAAGTATACACGTAATGAGGCCATTGGAATTGATCCACATTCAACATCTATGAAACGTTCGCGCAGCCAGCGCCTACGAGTAAGCCAAAAGCAGCTCGCGAGCTCGTGAACATGCAGCGCAGTCAGTCCATGACAGTTTCTCCTCAATTCACAACACCATAAAGGCAACTACTCATACTAGAAAAGTATGAGTTAATTACTATTAAATTATCTTCTTAGCCTTTAATTGAACAAAAGTTTTTGAGGCAATAAGTTTTCGATGGATGTAGTAAAATATGACGGAGGATGCGTTTTCATTGGAGTTTGAAGAATCTTGCAAC